GAACGCTTGTTGGAAATATTTTCGAACTTGCGCAGCAACGCAAAGAGACGACAAGAAGAAAAGTTCGTCAATGTGGCTCCGTCTGTGAGGACACAGCTTAAAGAAGCTGAAGAGAGAGACGACAGAAGGCTGAGAGAAGGAAAGGGAACGCGAAGACCCCACGGAGACGTGATGTGCCTCTCGATGCGAATTCTAAGCCTGCAGGCTGACGGCCTCCGGGCCCCGAGGGCTTCTGAAACCTACGAGAGAGAGCTTGCTGTCTTTCCCTCGCTAAGCTACATACACGCATCTAGTCTTCGTTGCTCTCTCTCTCTCTCTGTTTGTCTCTCTCTGTCTCTGTCTCTCTCACGATCCAGCTAAAGTGGAATGAACTCCTTCCCTCCGGATGAACACTCACTTGCCGGTCGTGGCTTTAATGCACGTTAATTGACGACGACCGTGCCGCGGTTCGATTAAAATTAAAGTGATTTTAAAGCACACGTTGCTGGATCGTTCGGATCGGCTGTACGAAAAATCGGAACGGCCGATTTCCAAAGTAGATGATAGGTGCGTGATGGTCGGTTTATTATTTCGATCATGCTGGTAATTTAGCGTGATGGGGATTCCTTGGTTTGGAAGAGGCATACCTTTGGATTAATTTCACGTGATTTTAAAATTAGATGCCGTAAGATCAGTTGGAAAATTCGTGGCTGTTAATTTTGTAGATCTGATAGGATTCTTACAGTTCTGGCAGTTCGTTGGACAGTTCTTTTTCTTAAGTTCGTGTTAAGTATGATTTTCTAGGAGCGAAACAATTAGATATTTGTATTAATTTAGTTTAACGTGTGGCATGAAGAATTGTTCGCAATATTTAAATAGCATTTATGAACATTCTTCGTGGAAATATTGTCCAAAATATTTTGAAATTTCATTTTACAATGAGATACGATATTGGTATAATATGAAACGATCTGTTTGTAGTATAGATCTAAATGTAGTATAGATAATACAGATTTGATGTATTAATTATTTACTATATTAATAAGTAACTCAGAGTATCTTCAATACTAATTATTCTACTATTACTAACTTTCCAGATTGGTTCTAAATTTTCCAATCTATTAATTATTTACTATATTAATAAGTAACTCAGAGTATCTTCAATACTAATTATTCTACTATTACTAACTTTCCAGATTGGTTCTAAATTTTCCAATGTATTAATTATTTACTATATTAATAAGTAACTCAGAGTATCTTCAATACTAATTATTCTACTATTACTAACTTTTCAGATTGGTTCTAAATTTTCCAATGTATTAATTATTTATTATATTAATAAGTAACTGAGAGTATCTTCAATACTACTTATTCTACTATTACTAACTTTCCAGATTGGTTCTAAATTTTCCAATGTATTAATTATTTACTATATTAATAAGTAACTCAGAGTATCTTCAATATTAATTATTCTACTATTACTAATTTCCCAGATTGGTTCTAAATTTTCCAATTCACAGTATTTTCACAATAATCGTGTCTTGTTCATCAAAATGTTCTATAGCGTTCAAACTAAATTAGTTCAAATTAAATTTCCATGTCGAAAATATTTCATCACATGTATGTGTTCAACAAATTGAATTGAATTAAAATCAAAAATAAATATACGTGTGTGTATACATGATAGCTGGTCAGGCAGTGTCACAGCATGATAAATTTGTAAAAAATTTGAATGGTCACGGTAAATCCAACTTCCTCAAAAACGAACTGGCAAAAAACTCTCGACTCTTTTTTTCTAGCGAAAAATTTCGAAGAACGCCGAATCATGTTCTTCCACTCACACATGCGTCTTGCAATTGTTTGTGTAAAAGCGAACAGAATCACGATTCATTTCATTCCAACGTTTGCGACAAAGTATGAGAGAAAATGAAAGACGAATGGCGCAAAAGGAAGGAGAGAAAGAGAGAGAAAGGGAGATATCCTGGTCGCAGAAACGCAGAATCAGGTGAATCGAGGCAGGCCAAGGTGGAATCCTTTGTGCAGTGCCACGCGAAAGGCGCTGCATCATCAATTTAGATGGACGGTACCGAGGTACTGTCCGAGTTAAGAAAAACTAGGAAAGACAGATGCGTAGATGGACTTTTATTGCCAGCCTCGCCATAATGGAACGCGACGTTCCTCTTTCATGCGCGTTTTACCACGCATCCGAACGAATTTCACTTGATTTCTTGCCGATCTTTGAAGAACCGCGCACCGCGGGACGAACAAGTCATTTCTATCGATTTTTCCCTCCATTTTCTTTCTTTTCACCTCGTTTGCCAAAATATTTGAATGCCCTAGCTTCGCAGAAGACCCAGAGACATTGCATTATCTTACGACTTTATTTTTGATTCTTTTTATATATGTATATGATTCATAATTAATTATATTCATATAATTACATGTAATATACATTTTTGAGTATATGATTTGAAAAGTAGAAACTGAGTCTTGAATGTTCTTCTAATGTTGTTTCGATGAAATAAACGGTGAGTGATAAAAATATATAGGTATCCAGTTTTGATCGATAATTAATTTGGAGGTAATTTTTGTTTTACGGTATCGAGTTTTGAAATTTTGAAAGAATGAAGGTTAATTACTTAGCATTGACATTAATAAGAATTTTAAGTCTTGTGTTATAAAGAGATATCGTTCGATAATTGGTAATTGGAGAATAATACAACAGCGAAGCAATGAGTAAAAATAAAATATTCAAAATGTAGATATATGGACGCCCAGCTCTCAAGTTAAATAACAGGGTGTTAACTGTCAATTTCGATTTCGAATTTTTTTAATTCTCGTCAAACAATCAGGTACTCGAGAGGAATACTTGTGTAATACGGATAAAGTGATCATCAAAATGTCGAGACGAGTGAAAACGTCTCTTCGATCCAGAAAAATTCACATGATGTGCATCTATTAAGTGTAAACGCAAAAGAAAATTGCATGGTCGTGATCGGTCAGAAATGTTTGAGCGATCGTTGTTAATATGGTGAAATCACGAAGCTAACTGATATATAATCTGCCATAAATCACCGCGGAAACGGCTTTATCAAACGTATTTCCACGCGCGTATGTCTGTTGCAAGACCAGAAGTTTATAAAAACTAACTACAATTGACAAATGACGGACAAAATGAAAAGCCTTTACTGTTTTCAAACTGTAATTTACACGCAATCAATATTACATATTTTACAACGAGCCGCGCTGTCGCGAGAGTGTTACCACCGAAGTGTTAACAAAATAGGCGTCTGACTACAAGGGAAATTTACACATTGGTAAACCATAAACGTACAACGTTTTATCTGCCGTGTATGATTGTGATTCATCGGACGTCTGTTTCCGCGGGGAGGGGGGGAAAGAATAGGAAGACGAAGGCTTTAAATTTATTGTATTCCTCCTGGTCGTAAAATCATCGTAAATCATCAGATTCCGTGCGATTTAGAAAAACGACCGATTGATCGTTACGCGAATTTATCCTCTCGTAAAACCGCAAACACGCCGGAGAATGTATCCGAGCGTGAAACCGTGCGAAACGACGAATCATTTTAAGCTCACTCGCACGTGACAGAATGAAAATTCCTTTAACGCCTCGTCTCGTAATATCGAGTCACTCGCATGGTACGAGTCATCATGGTTTTTGCCTGAAAAAGAAGAGAGAAAAGAGAAACAAATCTACGGGATTTGAATTTTAAATTCTTTAAGGTGATGATTTTAAAAATTTAAGTTTGAAGATTTTGAAAATTCTTTAGGTCAGAGATTTTTATGCTTGTGCAGGACTTATATTGCTTATTTGTCAAAATTGTCTCTAATATTAAAAATCTAAAGGAGATACGTACGTTTGATAAAGTTGAAATCGGAGCTGAGGAGGATACAAAAATCGGAAAATGTATGTTAAATCTTCGACTTAGTTTCAACACTAATGACATTTTATTCTTAACTATAACAAACGATAATAATGATGAAAGGTATTGGAAGTAAAGTGACAGATTTTTATAAAAAATTTTCACAAAAGAATACGTGTATACATAGGCTGCTATCTATTTGTTGATTTTGCTTTGCGATCATCAAAAACAAGTACTTCTTGAATTGGAGTTTTCGTTTAACAATTGTTCAAGCTTTTCGAATGTTCAATCTTCAAATTTTTTACGTCGTGACGTTCTTGGCCAGACACGTCGAGATTACTATGAGAAATCTTTCGTTGAAAGTCAGAAACGAATATATCGTTTCTAACATTGATCGTCAAAGGCAATAAATACGAAGGCTACATGCGTGTACATTCACAAAAATATCAGTTTGCACAGATATTTCGCAGTCTGTCCGTCACTTTCGAGGAACGTGAATGTCAGCTGTTATCTAGAACTTAGAAACAGATCGCAGACTATTTCAACGCTGTAAATACGCAATTGGCAACGAACCAACAACTGCTGAAAAATCTGCTGTGGAACGCTGAAAAAATGGCACGATCGAAATTGCGATTTATCGAGAAGCGGCGAGTGTCGTGGATCGATCACGAAGATCCACGACGAAGCAGAGAGGAGGCACAAGCAGCGGTGAATGAAAATCCCTCTCACTAGCCGACGTCGCGTTACTATCGCGCCACGTGGGCGTCTTCCTTCCCGCAATCTCCTCTCTCCTATCTTTAGTAAGTTCCATTTGGGCTCGTCGCGCGCGTTCCCGCGATTCCACGAACCCGTCTCCTCGCCGATTTTTCGCCCGTCTCGAATATATTCAGCCGCGTGTCCGCGACGAACGACGTTTTATGATGTTTATTCGAAGAAGTCGCGCTGAATCGGCGTCATGCGGGCGGTGACCAAAGCAGAGATCGAAGCCACCGATCGACGCCGGCAGTGGGACTTTCTGACAATTTCGCTTTGTTTATCGGCGATTTCCTCTGCTTGATCCCCCCGCGGCGAACCACGCGACAGAAATGAATTTCTTTCGCCTTTCTTTCTTAACTTTGTTCGTCTTGTTGGTTTCAGTTCCTGCCTTGGAAGTGCAGCAGTTTTTCTCTCGAGCGTCGATCCGATTCCACTTCGTACAGAGATGTGTTAATGTTGTAGCCTGCTTGCGACTATAAGAGATGATAAGGTAACATATTTTATTATCAATCTTGCGATCGAGAAACGACAATCGGTTTGCGCCTCGATGTTGTAGGTATTCGTCTATATTCACGTTTCCTTAGTTTCTCATTGTAATTTTCGTTTCGTAACATCTTCAGACCGTGGCAACGTTCGAATATGGGTTAAAGTTAAAGTATAGTACCGTATTTCCTTTTTTTTTTAAAGAAAGTAAATCAACTGCAAATGAAATTTGAATAAAAAAAATAGGCGAAAAATATATCGCGCGTAAGTATAGGGAAGCATCGTTCCTCGAATTTAGAATGCACATTCCGGCGAAGGTTCACGGACCATAACGAGTGACCAAACCCGTCGCTTTCTTTTCGAACTCGTCGGTACGATATCACTGGCATAAAAGTGACTAAAAATAAAATTACTAATAAATTTATTATGGGTTATATTTAAATATACTTAAAACTGAAAAAATCCTCGACGTGCATGGCACAGAAAATGATAAAATAAAACTGTCTCGGATCTCGAAGAGTTCCAAACCTGTGTGCGTCGCGTCGTTTCGTACCCTGAATCGCATGGGCTTCACGCACGCGGCTAATCGTTTTGAATTACTCGTTTTCACGGTCGATTTACCAGCGTTCTTTGAGTCGAAGTTCCGTATCCGAGGCACGTTAAATGACAATGCCGAACGATCGCCAAGAAGAATCTCTCTCTCTATCTGTCGTCAGACGTGCTCGCATTCGCGAGAGTTTTACGCGGGCCTCCTCCTCGACACATCGAGATATTGTATTTCCTCGAGTTGGCTCCTGACTTCTTTCGGCTTCCGTGGTGGTTTTTTCGGGACACGTACCTACTATTTCAGCCGGCGGTTACTGTTATTTGCGTCTGCCAAACTGGATTTTTCACGTCGCGCGGTATAACCGCGCGCGTTGCTGCGCTTTATCTTGCGTGAAATTGCTTTCGTACGACGTTGGAAGTCCCCACCGTATAATCGTACGGATTTTCTTTTTCTTTTTCTCGTATTGCGCAATCGAAAGACAAGATCAAATACGAATTGGGAATTTTTGAATGAAACTCGAAGAGACGTCTAGCAAAGATCATTCGTCGCGAGCTTTCAGATGCTTCTTCAACGTTTAGAGGATTCTTTCGAGGGTTTCTTTCACGACGATGACAAATCCTCTGATAATTCACCATCGAGATTATTAACGATGTTGCAAGCTTTCAAATATTTCTTCAACAATCTTTTTATATTTCTTTAAAATTTTTGCATAATTATACGTGTGTATAAATGTTTGAGAAAAACAACGCTCTCTGAGAATAATAATAATATTAATACTGAAACCACGAACCACGCCAGGATCTTGTTCTGTTTGTTCCTTTTTTTCAAATTTATATCGCTATGTAACAATGCAAATTTCTTTCATGATTTCGCACAGAAAAGTCTAGAAATTATTTGGAAGAATATTCGAGTTTCTTCAGTCGTAGAAGATAGTTCATTAGAGACGTGCCCGTCTCTCGACGTCGAGAAACTTGAATCAAACCCGGGGTATTGAAAGCAGGCCTGATGCATAAAGTGTCAGAGTGAGTCCGCGAGTCCGTTAAAATTCGACGAAGTTCCATCGCGAGGTACCTATTGGTCAGACTCGTAGACTATCGTCCAAACGTTTGGAATTCACGAGCGCACAGTGATCTGTCGCGTCTCGTAAAATTCGCGTTCTCCGCGCGTGCAAGCACAGCCCTCGTGCATCACGATCCCTCGGAGGAATGTTTCTAATTTGAATTCTATTGGACACGCGCGGCACATCGCTGCCAGGCGCAGCACTCGCCAGAGAAAACTGGACTCTGTCTTATCTGACGGAATGCGTGCGTTAGTCGAAAAAAGAAAAATAGTGCGTGACCCCACGTTTTTCGGCTGTCTCGGTCAACAGGTGTATGACTGGTTTGATATCGAATGATCGACGATCGTCAGTCTCTTGAGTGATAATCGCGTCAATATCTTCGAACTTTGGTATTTGAGTATCTGTGGTTCTATCTGTGATATAGAATATCACTCGAATCTTAGCTGACTCGTCGAACACCTGGATAATCGAAGAAAGTACGTGTGATAGATGATTAGAAACTTAGAAAAATTGCTACGACACATTTATTTATGTGATTTATGTTTAATATTTGAAAAATTGACAGTAGCTCGCGAAAATATTCGAATACATATTTTACATAGAACATTTCCAATTTCATTAACGTTTCAATGATACACGGTTGTCGTTGGTAAAATTAGAAACCAATCCGAAGGTGTACATAGACGTTTTGCGGTATTTATTACAAACATATGTTTAATATAAAAGTCAAATACACACCATGTTAAGTATACTATAAATCTTAAAGATGGTTCCTAGAATATTCAAAAGCTTTTTGATATAAACTGTAATTGTTTTAACTAAATATCTCGTAATTTTATATTTATTTCAAACTTGATCACTGTAACTGTAGCATCTGAATGTTAATGAAATTTCAAAATGTTTCATATAATCGACATATAATACTTTCGTAATCGATTATATCTATGTTGCATGCCATCATCACGAGCCATTTTGCTTACCGATGTTTTGATTAAAGTCGACAAAAGTAGAGAAAGGAGGGAAATTCTTCGAAGATATCTGTAACAATGTGTACAATATATACACGAGGATCGATATACTACGTGATACGAAATAAAACGCTGTCAGAAATAATAGATGGAACTCTTATCTTACGTTTGCTGGCGGACAATTCTTCCAGCTGCCTAGCACGGTGGAAAAGCAAGTGTCGAAACCGGTTTCTATCGGTGATTAATAGCAGTTCGTAACAAGTGATCTGTTTCTGGATTTTTCATGTTTTCGATTTGCATGGAAACTCGTGCACTTGGACTGCAATAGAGTCAGTATATACATACGTAAGTATAGGGTACGAATGCGCTCTGCAACTGCTGTGCCTACTGTAAATCGTACTGCCGCACAATCAGTGCTGCAAGTATGGGGTTTACTAACCGTGATCGCGGTGCCATAATCAACTTCATTAACGTCGTCACGTTATTTAAAATTTCTAACGGCGACGTTAACACATTCTTCGCTGCGACTGTGGTCACCCTGGTCGACCGTATTCTATTTTAATACGTACGTTTCCCTTTCTTTTCTTTTCTATGCGAAAGAAGTTTCAATTGCAGGAATAAATCAAATGCTTCTAGTAGAAATGAAAACGAAATTTCATTTGTCGATCGAATTGGTTCGATTTTCCTTGCGAACCTTCTGCTTATAATTAGCAAACGCTCGTTCAAACGCGAGACGAATTGAGATTTCTAATTTTATGTTCAAGAAAATACGGTAGTATTTTACAACTTGAAGACTTTAGTGTTTTTGAGTATTTTTGAACACTTGCCGTAAAAGTTATATCGGGTATTTGTTCACGTGAAGTTAAAATAAGCAAGAAATAAAACAACCTGTCACCCGATGTGAAAAGGCTGTCGATTAAAGATTTTATACCGATTGTGATAAATATAAAAATTGTTTTATAATAGCTAAGATACATTAGAATTTTCTGTTGACGAATTTCAGATTTTTTTTCTTTTTCTTTTACAATTGTCGAAGAGATACGGATGTTTTTGTCAAAATTAATATGGATTTCTGTTCAGACAGAAATACGATTGTATATTTATTTTAATTTTGTAATTTTTTATTTTTTCGTAATTAAAATATTGTAATTAATTTTAGCCTTATGTGTATATAGAAGTCTATTTAGTCTTATTGTAATTAATTTTACTCTATATTTAAGTCTAGTCTTTCAACTTATGACTCATAAATGGAACATTTTGATAGACATTAGAGACCGGTATTAATATCGTAACAAACGTGTATAAACGGCTCAGCATCTGAGAAACGACGCATCCCGATAGCGTAACTGAACGCGTAATTGAACGCGACGCGATAAATTATAAATCATAAATTAAAATGCATCTTCGGCGATAAAACTCGAAGAGTGTGTCATCGGAAGACGAGGAGTGCCGAGACATTCTCTCCGCGAGGAAGGCGAAGATCGAAAATCGAGGGACCATGACGAGTTCTCGATCAGGGGAGGAAAGCATCGACTTTCATCGAGCCAGGAAGCCATCCGTTTAACGGCTGCGAGTCGCCTCTGTTTATCTCGATTTTTAGATTTCGTTTTCAAGGGTACCGGTTATTAGCCATCTCGTTCTCCTCTCGATCAGCTCAAATAATCCGGAATGATCCGTTTTAATCCGGTCGAGATCCAACCGGAGGAAGACGTTGTTGGCGCGCAAATGTTCCGTGACGAGTGTATTTCCGTAAAAATACAGAGGCTCGCGATAGCATTCGAACAATTGCCCGTGGAACAACATCTGCACGTCTGTATATTATCTGTCAGGATTTCAACCTCGCGCGGTAATTGAATCGTAGAATGTCGGACTTACGTGCTTGTTGGAAGGAGGATAAATTTTTGAGGGTTTAAAATCGCAATAAAATTTGGAGAACACGACGAAATATTAATATCTTTCCCTTGCGATCTTATTCGGTTTTCTATTTTAATTGATAGCGTTTGTATTACGATTCAACTTTGTACGAAAGAAATTGACGAAAATTATACTCTATATTTCGATTTTGCTGGGTATGTCACGTCGTTACAAACGACGTATATTGTCCATGAAAAGAAAGAGAAACAATAAAACGTGTATATTTATGAACGTAGGGAGAAACAAAGAGACATTGATAATGTGAATAATGTCAAGAGTAAGAACTTTGAGTTGAAGAATTTTTCTTGAACTTAATTAGAACGATTCATTATCGAATTCACTATCGTTAATTTTCGCGAGAAAATAAGGTCCAGGTATTTACATCGAGCTTGCACATCTTCATCCCGCTCTATTATCGTTCATCAGCCACCCTCGTCGTTGTTTAACTCGACTCAGCGCTTCTGTCATTATCGTTGTCCTAAATCTCGAGTACACAGAAAATAATGCGAATCTATTAC